GCTGAAATCATCCTGACCATTAATTTTGATTTTGAAACCGGAAATCCAAAATCAGTAAACTGTTCATTTTCCGATTCTGGATTTCTCATTACAAAACCCAAAATCAAATGGCCAACAAGACGACCCGAGGTACTCTGTACATTTCTGGTAATATTTACAAGTTAGCTGGTGTGGGGGAGTCCTTGTCATTTATGCCAATATGTTGTACATACAGTAATAATAAAAAGTCAGTTTGTCAGTGAGTTTTTATTTTTTTAACTGTACGCGCTATGCTACATCTCTGAGGACATAGAGGTGGCAACAACATGCTGTTGGAATGCGCATCTTCAGCAGTGAACTAGTCCTTATCATCTAAATATAGGGAAGTCTTCAAAGAAATACAGAACAAAAACAAATACTATTGCAGAAGGTAAGCTAACATGAATGTGCAACGATAGCTACAACAGAATGTTTTGGAAACCTCTAGAAGCAAAGCATTTTAATGCCTTTGAATAAAAACGGTGAATCTGTTTCTGAGAATTAAAAATGCCTGTTCTTCACATATGAAATTAATCCAAACTGACTGAGCTTGAATTATTCAGCAGTAATAATAATGCAAATGCCTGCCTCCTTTCTTTAGACTTTATTTGGGGGAACGACTCCAACTTCACAGCTTTGCACAAATGTGTGTTTATCTGTCACATAAATACACTGATAAACCTTTAAGCAGTCGAAGGGGTATGGACACCTCTGCAAAGCACTGTGTTTCTTTTTAGGCCTTTGAGGAATTTAGCATAATCATGCATAAAAAATTGTGAGCTGCTGATCTGTCTTTTTTCCTGCTTGATAAGGAATGAAGACGTGAGCCTGATACTGTCTAAGAGCAGCTTCAGCGAGGCGCAGATGCTGAGAGCGCGTTACGTCCTCTACCCTGGATGGTAAGACATGTTTCCCCGTCACCACGCTCATCCTGTTAGCCACTCAGCCACAGTCTGATTCACCAGACCTGCTTCCATTTAGTTTAATTGCCACTCATCTGTCGTGAGGGGGGGATCGGATGCTGATTGCTGGAAAGGCCCTCGGGGCGTCTTGTGTTCTCTCCCCAGTAGCCTGCTGGCTGCACAGTAACAAGTAGTTGGCTGTGCAGTTGCCATGTACACACAGGGGGTCTCTTTTTCTTTGGAGCTGGTCCAGCCAGCCTTCATGCCTCAGTGGTCAGCCTAATATGAACCTCTGCTAAATCCCCCAGTCAGATCATACACACACTATCTGGCTAGAGCTTTTTAATGTGCTTATCTGCAGGCAGTAATTTGTGAGCTCACTTCATGTTTGTGCATGTTGGGGATGAGTCACACCACTACCAAGCTTATAAAGCAATACAGGGAAACTTTGGTGGCAAATAATGAGAAAGTAAGGAAAGATTTACTGTCAAAGGCGGAAGATTTAACCACAAATCATTAACACCATTTTTCTGGAGAGCAACTGCTGCAGTAAACAGCTTTCCATCCAGGGGATAAATTGTAACCCAAACACATGACCTGCTCTAGACTTAGCCTTCTCACCATCTGTGTAATGTGCACACGTTGTGTGTTCCAGGTGCAAAGGACGCTTCTTCTCTGGTTCAGGGTCTGCCATCGTCACCCAGCAGCGTATAGCTTTCAGCCGACCCCTAGAGAGGCCTCTGTTTGTCACCCGCTGCAAAGGTGAGGTGGAAAAAAGCCCCCCCACCCCCTGCTTTTTAAATTCTTACATGTGACAGAAGCTCCAGATATGAGCTGGCAGGGCATTGTTTTTACATAAGCTGCTATTCGTCCGTATATGGAAGCACCTGAGGTATACGTTTTATGGCTGCACAATCCTTACCAGTTTAATGTTTAGGCAAACTGTTAATTTATGTTTATATATATTAATTTAACACATCCATTGTTAAAACTAATGTTTTTTTCTGCAGCAATCAAGTCATCACTAAAGCCAAGTCCGTTCAGAGGAAATGTGTACAACATCTGGGGGAAGGTCAGATTTTCGGGTAGGAGTTTCTAATTTTGTTTACCTTTTCCTATTTGGTTAATGAGGAACACGTCTAGATCAGATTCTGGATTCCAGAGACCTTATTTCATGGAAATCTCATAATCTTTGTTTTGAGATGATGCTTAAAGAAAATTACATTTACATTAGTGTATACCTATATTTACTATTTATGTCATATTTATAGGATGGATGGATGGATGGATGGATGGATGGATGGATGGATGGATGGATGGATGGATGGATGGATGGATGGATGGATGGATGGATGGATTTCGTGCAGATTTTAAATGCAGATGTCTTCAAACATAAATAGACCCCAACTAATACAAAGACAAAACTCGCTGTGGAAGTTGTTGAGAATCCTTCTACTTTGTGTGTCCATGGACATGGCCCTGATGTTCTTCTGGATAGATATTTGGTGACTCTTCATGTCTGAATTGGATTATTTTCTTTACCTTTGAAAGATTGCTGAAGTCTGAGCCAATTCAGAGATTAGCCTGCTGTTTCCATTCCAACATTAACACCGGTCATAAAATGGATAAAGCACACTAATGCTGCGTTCGCACCAAACGTGTTTTTAGTATCGAAAAGGCATCCAACACATTGACCTGCATTTTAAAGTCAGACACTCTAGATGCTGGATGTTTAACACTCTGCAAGTTGAGCTGCCCTTATTTGAGAAAATGATTTGGCTTTATTTGCTTTGAGTTGGAAAAACGTAGTTTAAATTCATTTAAGGAAGAACATCCACCTGAAAACATCATCTGTTCAGTCAGTTCATCAGGATTATCATATTAAAGTGTTTTTTTAGGTTTGTGATAAAAAACTGCAAGTGCCAGAACATAAAATTGAATATGTTTGCTGCCAGGTTTTGACATGTTTAGTTAATGTATGTATTCATTAAGGTTTTGCCACAGTTCAGAAGGAAAATATTTTCATGGTGTAATAATGATCAAGGCTATCTCCTTTATGGAGTTAAACCCTTCTTATTCATGTTTTTTCTTTATAGTGTTATGCTGACAGCTCTGCAGCAGCAGAGATCACAGCTTGCATGTCTGTCTCCCAGATACCTGCAGGATCAGTTTCTATGATTGGTTGAAACTAAGCATCCAGCTGCCAAAGTTCAGATTTCCAAACTCCAAAACACGCTGCTCTCAATGCAAGACTCGTAGCTCCCAGCATTTAAATCGTGCCTCAGGGCCTCTGAATATTCCTCGATTCCGTTTTTCATAGATTATGCTTCTAAGACTTATGTCCTGATGCTCAAAACACATTTAATGTGAATGCACCATAATGTAGAGCTGCTGCAGTGGCCCCAACCTAAATGCTATTGAAAATGTTAAGAATGTGCCTAAAATGTAATCAAGTCCTTTCCAGGACTTTAATGTAAACAGTGCAGCCCATCGGCAGGAGGTTTTACCGTCTGTATGTGTCCATACAGACCTACTGACCACCGAGAGGCTGAGACCAGAGGATGTGACAAAATTAGTTTCTAAGGAAAATTTTTTTATTACAGTTTTCACATTTTTTTATCTTGTCAGAATGAGAAAAATAATATGCTTGGTATATTTCTCTATGAACATTAAATCTATACAAGTTTAATTTTCTGAAAAGAGAGAAAAATCTTTTTGAACTTTCTCAAAATATTTCATGATAATAGATAATGTTTGGATAATGTTTATCTGTAATTAGAGATTTATATGAATGATGACGCTTTAAAACTCCAGCAATTTTATGCTGATACTGTAGAAAGCTGTGAGCAGGTTTTACATGAAGGACCAACTAAATGTGAGACTTGAATATCAACTCTGTCATCTCTGAAACCTCCAGACTCGAATCGAACCATGGACGTGTTCTATAACACAGTTAGCGAGAGACTGAGTTTGCTCCCAGACGAGAGCACCGCCTGTCTGCCTGCAGCCCCCCCACAGACCAGCACACCCTGCTTCCTGGTCTTTGATGGCGTCGATCTCAGTCAGGAAGAACTGAAAGTCTGGCTGAGACTCTGCACCAAACAGGTTGGTGGTGTTCCTCACAGCAGCTCAGACTGTTACAACTCAGCCTTAAACTGTCTTTTTAATGTTTAAAGCAGCAGGACAAGAAAGCAATGAAAACCAGAGCCACCCTGTCAGAACAAGAAATCAAGAGCATACATGTGAGTGTACTGTAAAGCTTTGTGATTCCCAGCCTTTTGTCCTTGACCACTTGAATCCAAAAGCTACACCCACCTTCCTGCTCCCAGATAATCAGCAGAGTGTTTTTTACTCCTTTTTTGGAACAATCACATCATTACTTTCATAAAGGGAGAGACCAGTAGAAAACAATAACCCAGATGGGATGTTTGTGGCAGAAAATTACAGGTCTTTGTGTTGCTTAAAGCTTTCTAATAAGAGAGTTGAACAGTCCTGGGTGACAACAGAATGCTTTTTGAAAGTGAATTATGTGTCAGTAAAAAAGCTAAATAATATCTAACAAATTCTAAAGTGGATTTGAATGTTTTCTCCATTAACATATTGTTAACTGATGCCTTCTGGTTCTTTGGTAGCTTCTTGTTAGACATGCGTCTCATCCTTTAAAAACAGAGCAAAAGCAGCAGGGCTATTTGAACAGCTTTCTTTGTTTTGCAGTACATACTGCAAGTCTGGTAGACATTTTTTTTAATCGTCAGGCTTAATGCACCTGAAGGGGGTCCAGATCACTGCTACAAACTTGATCCATTTTGTTGGTATATTCTGCAATAAATAAACACAAGAATTCAAGTGTCTGAAAAATACAAAATCAATATCTAATTTTTTTTTCTCCAATTACAACTACAAGTCTTTAGGGATACGTCTCTGTTGAGGCCTTTAAACCAGTTTTAATATATTTACCTTTTTTTTCCAAAAGTATCTCTAGTTCAGTTTGACTAGCTGGAGATTTCTTTTACGGCTTGCTTGTTTCAGCTAGATTTACACTGCAACAGTGATCTAAAATGTAGTTAAAAAAAAGTTGATTTACTTTTAATATGAGCAGGTACATAGATGGATCTGCCTATAGAAGGAGTATTTGACTTTCTCACTTTTCTGCCATTAAAGGAAAAATACACACATTTCAAGAAATATTTCCTTCGAAATAGAAACTTTCCAGTGTAGCTATGAAGATTTCTAAGACATGACTATGCTTTGATCAGTACCATTGTAGTGTAGTTCTGAAGTCTATGCTTATAGCTGTTAGATTATAAATGTTCTGTCCCAGATTTTTGCTTTTTTTGGCTCAATCTATCCTCCAGTTAACCCTGAGAAGGTTCCCTGTTTCTGCTGAAAACAAACCTGATTCTGCCACCAACAAACATTTCTAGGTGTTTCTCTACTAGTTATACAAATATAAACACCTGCTTCTAATGGTCTGTCCATTTGTCCTCAGAAGAACAGATTCGATCGTTTTGATTCTGAAACTTCAGTGGAAACTCCTCTGAAAATTGGAGAAAATTACTCTCAGCAACAGTAAAATTTTCACACCAACAAGCCAGATTGCAGTTCTGATCATAACAGAAGGCAACATTAAAACTGGTGAAGCATTTAACAAAACACACATGTATTTGTTTGCAAACTGTTGTGGTTTTCTGTTAAGTCACTTTAACTTATCACTGTTCCATAAAGACCATCTGAATGGAGCCTTGTAATAGTTAGCACTTATATTATTGCTGGGGGATTTTTTTGTTTGTTTGTTTTTTTGTTTTTTTTTACACTTGCCTTTTTTTCTGGTGTGTAACAATAATAGAATATGATTTTAAATTTTACCCCTCAGACGGCCCGACACCTGGATCCCCTCCCACCGGGTTATTTCTACAATGGCTATCTATATCAACACATCTACGGAGAAAAAAGAAGCTTCCATCCTAGTATCCTTTTTAATACCCCTGCCTATTCCCAGTTGATCCTGAAATGTCACTCAGGCTTTGTAGAAGCTCATGAGGTTGAAATACAGCTCAAACCAACAGCAGATACCTTAACAGAATTACAGCATCAGCCTGACTTAGTTTAATTACAGTTTGGTGAAAGAAGGCCACAGTTTACCCTCATGAAAAACAACAAACTATTACTAACACTGTAAATGTTTATCCTGTTCTGTGTTCATTTATTCCTTACATTCCTGTTTCTCCAGACATGGAAGAGTTTATTAAAGAATACATTTCTGAGGCCAACAAGGAGATCGAGCAGTTCAACCATCAGCTGGAACTGGAGCTCCAGGGACAGCCAGACATGTTTGATCTGTGATCTGATTGCTTCTAGTATTAGGGACGAGAGCGTTCAATGAGTAATCACACCACATGTCCTCTGAAGGTGCCGTCTATCAACCTCATTCCATTGTCACTTTTCAAATGCAGGAAGATTAGGCTGAGGTGTGTTTTTGAGTCATTCCCAGTCATTAATATCAAACACCGACTGTCTACCCTATTTGTCGTTTCACAAAACTACAGATAAAAAAGGCATTTGAATCAAAATAGGCAGAGCAGATAGATCCAAAAACAAAGCACAACTTTAAGCTGTATATGAATGCAGCACCAAGTCAGCAAGCTGTGGCCCCGTCACAGTCAAGGGGATTTCCAATAACACTCTCTCCCTGCTTGAGCATTTCTGTTTGTCACAGTCGGCGAATTAATGCTTCTATTTCTGGGCTGGCTTGAATAGCTGTGTGATCCTGGTAGGCTCCCTGGTGAGGTTTCTCAAGAATTGCTCCTCTTCTGTTGTCACCCAATCTGTGGTCCACCTGTTGGCTTGTTTGGACGCCACACTGGAGCAGAGGGAGCGCCTGGCCATGAAGCGGTAAACATTAGAAAGCCCCTTGGCTCAATGGTGCCGTTTCTCCGGTTCCCGTTTCTTTGAAAAACCCTGCAGGTGATTCTAAAGCTAACAAAGTCTGAATTAATTTAGGATGACCAGACGTCCTCTTTTTCCCGGACATGGCCTACTTTTCAGAACTAAGAAAATGTCCGGGGGGAATTTCAGAATCGTCCGGGATGTTGGTCGACTACAGTGCAGCACGTAGTCAAAACCGGGAGCCAGCAAGGGAAGGAGCGACTGAACCTGACCCGATAACTATAGTCCGGACATCTGCGTCCCCTTGCTTCCCCCCGCCTGCCTTACCGGTCCCCAGTCCCCCTCCTCGGGCTGAGGACGGGCAGCTCATGGCTGTCTGCTGAGGTCCGGTCTAGTCAGCGGACCAGCAGTCCCACCCCCACCCCCCCCCGTCCAAATAAAAAATGTCCTTCTTTTCAGAAACCCAAATCTGGTCACCCTAAATTAAGTCCCTGAAGCTGTAAGTTCAAACCTGTTTGACACAAGGATAACATTTCAACTCTACATTTAACCACTTTAATCGCTTGTTTCAAAGAAAAGAATTAAACCAAAATGTTTTTCACAATGTTCCTTGAAAAATTGTCTTAGGTGACAAACAGACCTAATTTCACTGCTAAAGGAGTTGCTTTGCTGTTGTTTGCTCTGCGATTCAGTTTATTGTTATACACATCTCTGAAGTTCTACAACTTTTAGTTAAATGTGTTTAATTATCAGTGATTTCTCTGGTAAATACTTGCTAGTATTTGTGACGCTGCATATTAATGTAGTGAGGCCTTTATTTACTAATTAATCCTGGTATGAAAATTTTTTTTTTTTTTTAGATTTGCTTACATATGCAGATGTTACACTGCAAAAAGGGAACTAAAAGTGACTAAAATTTTCTTGGATTTAAACTTGATTTAAGTTGGGAAGTAAAATAATTTGCCATTGGAATAAGACTTTGTGCACTTAAAATAAAACCTCTCCATCGGGGTTCTGAATAGTCTATTTGAACATAGCAAGCTGCTATGCTGCAAATTTCTCACCATTACACTGAGCTTAGACTGACTGACCATTCGAATGTCATCTGGGCTTCCTCCCTCATGGTTCTTTCCAGCATATTTCAGTGCAACAGCTGCTTACGCTGACAGTTGTCAAAATGACACATAAATGAGGCTGATGCACTGGGTTTTAATGAGCACAACAGTTGCAGAAACTTTGTTTTTAGAAATGTCTATCTCCTTATGTACACATACTTTTCTATGAAAACATGAAATCCACAGCTTTCAGCCTGTAGAATTGAATCAGACACCCTGGGTGCTTGCAGGTGAATGCCTGCGCTACCACCCCACCAGCAGACAGAGTTCTGTTTCTACACAATAAAATGCAGCGTTGCTGCGGCTGCAGGTGGATCAACACGTCTCTCTGGGTTAAATCATTTAAGTACAAAATCTAAACCAAAATAAGAAAACATGTCTTAGAACCAGTGTTGTTGCCCTAAATTTTAGGAGGTAAATATGAGGATCTGGCAATGGGATACTGTAATTATTTTTGCTCTTAAATAATTTTGATGTTGTTCACTTGAAATAAGATAATGGGTTTTATTTTTTTTTCTAATTTTTCTAATTCCATGGGCAAATTGTTTTCCAAAGTTTCTAAAAACAAAAGAAAATTCTTATTTCAAGAAAGCAATACTTATGTTTCTTTAATAATTGAACGTATTTTAGGGGCCAAAATACTAATTCCGTTTACAGATAATTTAATTCATCTGCTCAGCTAAAGCTAATAGACTTACTTCAAGAGATTTTTCCTTTGTTTTATTATTATTATTATTTCATATTTAGATTTTTGCAGTGTAAATATTGAAATAAGCTAATCTTTATGTATATCCTGAACTAAAACTCAAGCTAATGCTGTTGATCCTGTCTTCTCTTCTTAAAGTCCAGTTAGTGGAACCCACACTTCGACTGTTCCTGTAGACAGTAGTGAAATACCTACAGTTAGAAATTTCACCATTGTTATATTCACACAGAGAGGAGTTTATATAATATTACAAATTCTTCTCTAACTATCCTCTATGTGATTGTAGTCCAATACCTTTGTGTGTTTTCGATATATACACTTACGCCTGCCTCTTATAGGACGGTGCTGAAACACATGAGCTGCTGAACTCTCAGGCTCCCACAGCTGGTCCTCTCTGCCACCTCTGCTCACATAGAAGCTCAAGGGCTTTGTTGCAATTAAATGTTGCTTGGAAAAAAAGAAAGTCTCCCCTCAGCTCTCAAATGATGAGGTAAAATTCAGAGCGATTACATAGCTTTTCAGAAATGGTTCAGGATTATATGGAACTTTAATCCTTTGGTGACAAAAGGATAACTTGCGTATAAGCTGAATCCTCTCTTTAACATTTCAGCAATGCACTCTGAGCTGTGTGTTTTCAGCAACAGTTGTCAGAGTTGTGCTCTTATGTAATACGGCAGAGAGTTACCGTGATTGACAGTGAGGCAGATGTATGCCAGACGTTTGAACCCGGCTGTAGATCAAACGGTAGAGAGCCTGAGACCCTAATCAGCCAGTCGATTAGCAGCAAGACCTTATAGAGACAAAGCTGATGTAAACATGCTTAAACACAATTTCCACTAGCACAATTATATAGAACCATTTATTCACTATCAATATCACAGCTGTCTGTGGTGAGTTGCATGTGTTTAATATAATTATTTGTATATTCTGACAGACAAAATGCCTTTCACCAAACTGCTAAAAACAGAATAATTACTTTTATTGTAGAAATCTGCTTTGATATTTAAATAACCTCTAAGCAGGAAATAGTATTTTTATAAGACTTGAATTGAACAACTGCGATGGAAACAAAATTTTTCCTTGCACACATGCTTCAACAAACGTAAAAGCAGATGTGATTCTTTTATAAAAAATAAAAAAAGACAGATAAACTGAAGAGAATCTGATCAGTTGTGAGATGTCAGGTTTCTCTGATCCAGCAGTGCCTTGGCTACAGCTAAGAAAAGCAGAGATTAAAGCTGCTTCCACTGCTTCATCCCTGTGACAGAGTAGGAGGAGCTGTCAGGCAAGGATCTGTCCTTCAACAGTGTTGGTGAAAGGAGTCCATGGAGTCGTTCTTTTAAAGCTTTCTGTTTTATTTACAAAGCCGGAGGGTGAAGTGGGCGAAGTCACACAGTGAGGCTGTTGGCAGGCTCGGGATAAATCAGGTGTTCTTCACACTGGCAAAACTTGCCAGAAAATACAAAACAAAAAAAATAAGCACAATAGAAATTGGGTGATCCGTTCTTATTGTGAATGGGACTCCAGCTGAGCCCTCCACAAGCCTTCAAAGGTGACTGTTCCACAGCTCTTTGGTGATCTCAACACTCCTTTGTTCTCATCCTGTGTGTTTTAGCTGAAGTTATGGGACAAAAACAAAGTTTGGTGTCAATTGGTTATATATAATGAAGGAGCTGTTTAAGAAAGGTCGGTATGAGACTTTTATATTGCTTTTTTTTTAAAGGGAGAAGTTATCAGTATTAGTTTCTTTACCTGACCAGATAAATTAATTACGAATTTTTTAAAAATGAGGCAACAAACAGAGCAGTAGACGGCTAATGTTTTTTTAAAAAGGACCCCTATGATAAACTTACTTAAGCCATTTAAGAAAAAAAAGTATTTTCATAATAGGATATATAAAAAAATAGAATACGGTATGTTGCAGTCTTAAATTAATGATCGTCCTAATTAGCTGAAACTTGTCAGGCCACTTTAAATTCACTAAAGAGGTAAACATTTGGATGTTAAAACAATCTGTCATTTCGGGGCTAAGGTTGAACATTCTGCTCATTCCGGTGCTTTTCCAGGTCCTAATGTGCACCATCCAAGGGTTCAGCCTGACTGGCCAGTCTGGTTAAAACAGACCAGACCAATCACAGGCAGGGGTTTACACCAGAATTACCTATAATGCAACTGTACTTTTTTGTTAACATAGCAGCTAAGACTGCTTTAAAATGATTTGCATTTTAAAAGTAGATTTTAATCTATTTTATTCCATTTTTCTAATTACATAAATTGATCCAACCTGAGTTCTGTTTTTCTACACTCTATTTTGAATACACAATAAGATAAATTAGTTATCCTTTATTTTTATTCCCTTTGACTGTCATCTAGGCTTCTTCCCTCATGGTTCTGTCCAGTGTATTTCAGTACAACCGTTGGTTACACTGAATGTTGTCAAAATTACACATTAATCAGGTCAACGCACTGAATTTTAATCAGTGTGATGATTGTTGAAACTTATTTTAAAACACATTTACATTATAATTTAAAAATGCATGTAAGAATAGAGGTATGAAAACTCGAACCTAGTGCCCTTCGGGCTAACTCAGACTAACCCTGAGCTAACATGTTTCCATCCTATTAGCAGACAGAGTTAAACTTTTGAAGGCAGAGAGAAGTGTCTAGGTCCAAAAAGGATTCCCAAATAGCTGGTCTGTCAAGCTGAACCGGGTGATCGTTGGTGTTTTGTTGTTTTCTACCACTGCGTCGCAGTTTGCATATTAAGAGGATATATGAACATTGCCTCCAACATGGAGGAAAGATTGAAAAATCCTGTTAAGAACCCTGTTTAAATTGGGTTTAATATAAAAACCAAGTAAGTGGTCAAACTCAGATGATTATAGAGCCATTAAAATGCATTTAGTAAATGGTCAAAACGTTTTACTCTTTTACTCTTCTAAAGAAAAACAAAACATTTGGTATCATCTTATTATTCAGAGTTGGGCCCAGCTCAATTCATGCCATAACTAAGTATGAGAACTAAAACTGATAACTTCTTGAAACTTCCCTTCAGAAAATCTGGATTAACTCTTTAATCCTTGAATGAGCCCGTGTTTTTTATCCGCTTGTTAAAGGATAAATATTTTTCTGGTATTTTTGTGCCTATTGAGAAAAGGCAGCTTGATAATTGTTGTTTTTTTTTGTTGTTTTTTTTTTTTTTTTTTTTCTTTTACTAAGCTGACTTTAATAGCCTGAAAACAACACTAGCTGCGTTTTCATTCATTATTGATTAAAGGTTTTTGGCGTTGGGGTGAGGTGGCTTTACGGTCATATTGAAATTGGTGCATTTCACCAAACTATAATGGCAATACTGGTTTGGTATCACACGAGTTAAAGAATTATCAATCAGAGGTTACTACTTGGCAAAAAGACAAAGATCATTGCACGGCATGTGTTTAATGATTGATCACATGAACAAGCGTATTTTCATGTGATTTAATTGCAGAAACCACATTGGTGAATCTGGTTTTTTTTTCCACACTAGTAGAATATTGACAATGTTTTGCACACATTTATAATGGAAACGCAGCTATTGATGCTGAACTTTAGTAAGGTTTAAATAAAATCACAAGACTGCCTGTCCTCCCTGGTAACGAGAGGACTGCTTAGGTGAAATGTGATTAACTTATCTGAAATTCCATATCTGCCTTGTGAAATGTGGGCCCTAGTGAAGTATATGGAGCTGAAACCATGCTGAGTATATTCAGTTTGTGAGCATGCAAAGACTGACAGCAAAATAATAATAAAAAGAACATGCTGTAATGCTGTCATGATTGAAGTCAGCAGTTCAATGTTATGATGATGGAATTAGATTATAAATGGAAACAAAGGGCTCATTTGTTTTTCAACTTGTTACAAGCTGCTAAAAGTAAAAAAAAAATTCTCTGTTGTGATGAGAAGCAAAGAAAAAGGTAATCTGTGCCAAACTGACTTCAGGATTTGGTGGGTTTTCACAGAAAGTGAAACCCACATGCATTTGCACAAAACTACTGTAACTCTGTTTTTCTTCCTGTGACTGATGCTTTTCTAAATTGATGTATTTATTGCACCCTATAACTAATAAAGATATTTATATCGAAAACCCACTTTTTTCTCGCAACATGAGTTGGATTGAACTTAAAGCCTGCAACTTGCTGCCTGTTTTGCCTGTTGCTCTCCAAGAGCAGCAGCACTCCAGGCAAGTTCATCGTGCAGACGGTTTGTCACCTTGATGAGAAAGTCCTCTCTGCTTTGAAAGCTTGTATCTCCACCATCTGTCTCAGAGAGGGATTGGGACAGTTGGGTTAAACAGATCAGCGATGTACGTAAGAGCTTAAATGTGTTTGTGTGTGTTTTTTTTTTCATATAGTCATTTATTTAGAAGGGAAAACAGCAGCCAGAATACTACTGAGACAAATGGAGGATCATGCCCAGCATGTCCTTCAATTTCCTAATGCTTAGTGAGCTTTTGCATGTGTGTCTGAAAGGGAAAGGAAGAAGGTTCTTATGTGTGTCCTTGCATTGTTGCCAGGCAGATACAGTCCTCCACATGTCTGACCTATGACAATAGCGTTTCCTCGCCCCTCTCCTGCCACCACCGTGCCGCCAGTTACTCCCCAGCGACTAAGCGCGAGACTACCCACCCTTTACATTTTTAGCCTACTTAAAACACTCTCCATATCTGCACCATTCCCCTTTTTTCTTCTGCCCACCCCTCTATTGTTGTATTTTTACCGAGCCACTGAGCTGAGGCTATTTGTGGTCTATTATATGACAGCAGCATGTAAACACTCATCACTTCCACCAGCGTCTGCAAAAGCTTGCTGAGTGAGCCCAGGGCATTACAACAATGAATCAGTGTACTCCATTTATTCACCTTCACACAGTTGAAGTGAATAAAAGAGATGGAGAAGCCGTTTATATATTTTTTCAATCTACATGTATTGGTGTAATGTTTTGTTTCTACTGATCTGAGAGGACGTACTTGTTAGTGTAAACCATTTGTCCCTTAAATCTCATTTTTTTTGGTTCCACAACTTTTAGTCCTGGATGAATGATGTTTATGTTGCTGTAGTACATCTAATGTTTTAGCATACCGCTATGGGAGAGACCATTCCAGCTCTTCTTCCCTTTTACAATCTAAGTGGATTTTCAGATCAATATCTCGTTCATGCATTCTTGTCATCATGCCTAAATAAACCCCCTCTTTTACAACTCCAAGTCTTTGAAAATTTAGTTGCCAAAGAGGGATGCTTATATTTCTCTATTGATCTTCCTCCCATAGGTGATGTGGCTCACTGCCCAGGGCAATGTGGTATTGGGGATGGTGTGAATAATCACCTAATAAACATTTTTTTTTCTATTGCTCATTGTGGGTTTAGTCAGTTGGGATCTTATCGAAAGCTATCAATTAAAAGGCAAATTGATGTTTCTAATTAACCAGGGCTGCATCTCATACACTGTAAGTTTAGTGATCAAACCTGAGCTCAATTGTTCTAAAGTAAAAAGTGTATTCAATTTTAGTGTGAGGTTCATGAAACATTTAATTCTGTTTATGGAAGCATATAGAGTAAGCAAGATGGTTTGTTGTGGGGTGATGCAAAAGAAGGACTCAGACCACAAAATAAAGCTTCATAAAACAGTTATATTCAATTTTCCAAATGCATTTTATTTTTTGCACCTTCTGACAGCAATTTAGCATCACATGTTGTACTGACTACACACAAAATCATTCTTCATTAACATAACTAGATCTCTTAGCACCATTTATCAAGCTTTGAAGTCTTTTTGCATGTTTTATAAAAAGGTTACACTCATGTTGTAATAAACTGACTCACATTTTTCAATATTACTTTTAAGAGAATTGTATTGACTCTACAATAACTTACAAAAATTCCATATCAACAGTATATTACCCAGCAAGCTGGAGTACTATTTCTATAATACAGATAGGGCTAGTGAGACCCTTTAAACAGATGAGATCAGGTTGAGGTATTTAGTGAACTCTTCAAGAAGCATGACGCGGGAAGCAGCTCATACAGAAAATTGGAAGTCATGATCATCGTTGAGGCCCAGCATGAACCAATGAACACAGACAAGACAAGCTGTGATAGAAAGGTTATCTCTTTTTCTAGCTTGGGAAATTAGTCTCAGTCCTGCTCAGGGGCCATATTTATAATATGTTGCATAGAATCGGTACTAAGTGTATGCATGAAAAAAATGGTATACTCCACAAATATCTCAGATTTTTTTAAATGATTGCATACTTTCCCAGCACTATAGCTCTTATGAAACAAGCCTATTAAAAACTTTAAGTTTAGAAGTTACAGTTCCTTAGGGCTTCAATGTTACATTTTTTTTAAGATCTTTTTATTTGTAAAAATAAGCTATTAAACCTTAAAGTCTACAGCTGACAATATTACTGGGTGCCTCGAACTGCAAATTAATTCTATTAAGTCCTTATAATATCCTCCTTCTGAAGCTGTTTTACATCAAATATCATCAGAACAGACATCTCACTAGAGTCCTCCAAGGAGGCGGCTAGTTTAAGTTGCTGAAGACCTTCCCCACTGAAAACCTTCCCCTCCCACACCCTGCTTTTGTTCAGTTTCAGATCTGTTCGGTCCTCTCCCACCACACTCACCCGTAGGGCTCCAGGGACTCGTACTCTGAATAGGGTCCATGAGAGTGGCTCAAGCGTTCCCATACGAGGTTCAAACAGCACACAGCCTTTCCCCCAGGCCGAATAGACACAAGGGAATGGAGGCATTACCTGATTGGAGAGGTTCCTCACTATAAAATCACACATTGGGCTGAAATCTTCACTGGATGTTATCCGTGCATACAGTCCTAGTCGATACACACCTGCCTCTGGTAGACTGAGACTCAAAGTCACCTTGTGGTCTGTGTAGGTGCAGAATACATAACGTGAAACTGGAAAAGTTGAGCATATGTTCTTTTTGCTGAGTACATAATGAAGTTCGAGGTCCTGCTGGTTGTGGAAGGTGATGTTGCATTTGCCCTGCTGTGTACTCACCATGGCAGAATTGTGGCTGAACCTAGATAACCCTGCCTTAGCCGTTCGGGTTCCTGGCCCACATGCTGAGCCAAGATTTGGAGGAAACAAATCTTCTAATCCAACAACCTTTCCTTTGCAGTGTAACAGGTAATTCGCAGCATTCTGGAACTTGACCTCTGTATTCTCATAGTCCCGCACAAACAATGAAAGTCTGTAGAAACCATGAAACGGGCACAAGACATGACAGGTGAGGCTCTCTGGTTGAATCTGAGTTGCCAAGCAGCACTTGGCTACAGCAGCTTCCATTTGCGGGTGGACAAGTTCACATAACACCATTAGAGGCCTACAAGTCTTCAACACCAGGTCAAAAACTCCATCTTCCACTTCAACAACCTCACTGCTCTGGGAGCTGCCAATGACACCCAAGGATCCTGCAGCAGGCTGTAGACCCCAAGAAAGAAAGGGGTTCTCTGGAATGTCCTCAGTGGCTCTTGGGTTTGGACACTTCACAGTGAAGGAGCAAACCCAAACCAGAGGTGTTGTAGCGTTTTCTGACCTTGCAAACAATTTGACATCATAGGTGTCACTTTCAGGTGGCAGTAGCTGCAACTTCATGCTTCGACTAGAGACTGTTAGAAGGCCAAAGGAGGAATTGCTTGACTCTTTCTGCTCCACAGACCCACAGTGAAGAAGATCTTGATGCTGCGTTATCTCATAGGTGAAAGTTGTTGGCCTGGAGAATCCAAGGGATACAGTTGCCTCCCCATCATCTGAGTAGGAAGTTAAAAGAACATTTTGTTTTAGAAGATAAGAAACATATCAACACCATGAATGATGAGAAAGGCTGAACCTTTATCCTCTTGAATAACTTACAGTAGAGTATATTTACCCACAAAACACTAAGCAGATTTTGTGTATAAACTGATTTAGAATATACAGCCGTCTTTTGAAATAAAAAAAAATCTTGACCTGTGACTATATAATAGTGAAGAGGACTTATCAGCCTGAGCCCCATCTTGAAGAAAGCAGATGTCTTGAAGACCCTTTGTTCAAATTCCTCGATGGGGATGGGTTTGTCCAGGAGCTGCCATTTCTCCTCGTCTGGAAAGTGTGAATCGATGAATTCCTCCGGGTCAGTTAGGAAATAGAAGTCATCAAAACTTGATTAAAAAAAAAGACAAATTTTAGCTTGAGCCTGAACGCTGCTGTTAATGTGTTTAATTGATATAAACTAAGTATAGACTGGCGAACGTAGGTAATTACTCTAGGGCATTTTAAAACTATTAAAATAAACAATGACATTTAGATTTTTATACATTTTCTTTCAGCACCTTTTGACAAAGCTTTCGTGCTGCATATCCACTTGTCCAGCTCCCCAACAGGCATCCAGAAGGAACCACTCCCCCCCCAGAAGCACAGCGTTCCACAAGTGATCCGACTTCACATGCTTTAGGCTATGACCTTGACGGTAGCCAATCCCCTTACTGTGGCCTGTAACTTCCTGGCACTCTATGCCCACTTCTCTGGAAACACAGACCAAGTAAACATGTTTTCAAATGTTTCATCTGTTTATCATGACACAATATCCATGTGGTTTACAGAGTATTAATGTAGTAACATAGTTTAGTGACATTTTATTTCCTGTTTTGATGAAGTAATGGCTAGCATCAGGTGTTGGAGATCCAATAGCAATCAGGATATGCAACAATTTCTAGCCTCTTTCCAAGGAATACAAAATTAGTTGTATACAGTGTTGGGCACGTTACTTTGAAAAAGTAATTAGTTATAGTTACTAGTTACTTCTCCCAAAAAGTAACTGAGTTACTAACTGAGTTACTCCACAATAAAAGTAACAAGTTACTAGTAAAAGTAACTATTGCGTTACTTTTGCGTTTCTCGCCCCCGTACCCTCACCACCCAGCCCCCACTTTCTCGCGGTGTGTTTCCAAAGCCATCTGAATAGAGCGGACGATTTTAACCTCCATGTGTAAAAAAAAAATAAAATAACAAAGGATGCATAATTTTTGAGGTAATTGAGTTCTTATGTATCCTAAAAGGCAATTTTCATGTTATTGGGGCAATTACAACATATTTAGGCCAACAACATATTGCTAGTCATGGATCCTTTTCAAAGTCACAGCTACAATTTTTTCATTAAAGATATTCATTTTTCCAAGCAAATAAATCCACAGAGTGTCTAGAGAATAAAAGTTTAATTTCTCTTGAAAAATATTGTATATAAATAATTTTCTATACATTGAGTAGGGTCTAAAATATATAAATATTTACTTCTGATTGCAATTCCAACATCAACACAACAAAACTCAGATGTTGCCAAATTCTGGGAGCTCTATAATAGAGTTGAAAAATTACTTTTTCCTGGCATTACTTTTCTCAAATTTTAAGCAAAAAAAAGAAAAGCAAAACGAGGATAAACATCGATTGGTTACTGACACAGAGGCAAAGTGGCTCAGAAGTTAAGGTAAGTTGAGGGCGTTTCTCTTGAGCGTTCTCGTGTGCTTGTGTACTCGTGACACGTCATCAGCCTCAGCCCGAGCACCGTTCCAATTCTCGAGAACGCCAGATCGAGAACGCACCAAATCCCCGGATGTTGTTCTCGCCCCGCCCTCTTTATCAATCATGCATCAGAGCAGTCTTGTGTGCGTTCTTCAGACTGACCGCTTCCCTAGAATGCCCCGCGGCCGCAGCTTGATTCGAGACAGCGCTCACAGTGGTAAGTTAAACATTCCCTTTTCTGCTGCTGTTGTTCTTCAAAAGTACGTTTTGAAATCGTTTGAGGCGATAACATTATACATTTAAGCCTCCCTGTGTGGCCTGTTTACAGAGCTAGTGCGAAATTAAAAAAAAAAAGTCCGACGTTGAGCGGACCAGAGTGACCAGCAGACCTCCGAGGGTAACCGCAGCCAGGGCTAATGTTAACCCGTCTGTAGTGCACTTCTCTCGGTCTAGTTATGTGTGAACTACCGCTCGTTCTGATGGCGGTTTTTTGCGGTTCGGTAATTTTTTTAAATGTTTTTTAAAGCTTTAGAAATTAAAAATATTGTTTTCAAAATGTTTTGTGTAGGGAATAAATAGTTTTGACTGTTAAAGAAATGCTAAAGAACGTTGTATGTGATGACGTCACGAGTACGCTTCTGTTCCAATACACGTACGTGCTTGCGTGCTCGCGTTCTCGTCAAGTCCGATTTTCCTGTGTTCTCGCCAAGAACGGACTTCACGAGAACGCGAGTACATACTCGCGTTCTCGTGAATTGAGAAACGCCTTGAGTGTTTGCAAATGCTAACCAAAGCTTAGCTTTAGCAAACCTGGCAATCAGCTTGCAAACAGTACAGAACATGGGTGGGCACATGGGATACCCATTGCCTTAGAGCAGAGCCAATGAATTGATGAGTTTCAGAAGCATTTCATCATGCAGCATTCTACCTAGGGATGGGAATCGAAAACCGGTTCCTGTTCAGAACCGGTTCTGTGTGTTCCAATTCGATGGCACAGTTTGGCAGCTCACTTAACAATTCTCTTAACAGTTCCAGGCAGCACCAGAGCCTAGCGCTGGGCAGCACAACTTATGTCACGTTATTTACACAAGTTGCACAAACGGCATTCAGTAAGCAAGTAGGTTCTGACCCGGCCTAAGTCAAGAAAATCAAAAAACAAAAATGGCGTCGCATTGGGTAACGATTGAAAGATTGGCTTCATTTTAAGGAGGAGAAAGATGGCAACAAGGTGCTTTGCAATCATTGCAAAGTGGCAATTACATCCGTGGGAGGAAATACATCCAACATGGAGAAACCCCTGCACACACAACATGGCATACATTTTAACAAATGCTGTGTTTTTCATGCTTCCGGACAGAAGCTAAAGTTACAACCAGCATGGAAGGAAACTCTGTTAGTAAGTAGCTAGTTTTATATCACTGTGCTTAATATGGTTCCTAGTAAATCATATATCATTTCTGGAAATAAATCAATTTCCTAACTCTCTTAGAGGTTATTAAACATGCTAAGAAGTTGCTCCACAGTTCAGGGAGCGAGAGAAAGGTGAGACTTGTTTATTTAAATCAGGGAGATTAGTTTATTTCCCGAAATTGTACAGTATTGCTTTTTCATTAAAAGGATGCCTTCTCCATTAAATTTAGATGACTGTGACGAGACGGGTAGCCCAGAGGCTGGCGGCTCCCATTCACTGCCTTCTGTTTTTGCAGAGACAGACAGAAATAGAATGTCCCAGGCAAAGGTAGACGAATGTCACCGTGCACTTATCAAGTTCATTGTTTCACAGAATCAATAGGAGAATAGATAAGGAATCTAATCGTTTCTCAGAATCAATAAGGGAATCGGAATCGTGAAAATCTTATCAATTCCCAACCCTAAATCTACCTATACCATCTGCCATATTGATACCAAATGCTTAGCTTAGCTGCGGCGCTTCTCCTCTGACCAGAATGGATCATTATCATTTAAATTTGAGGACAGTTAGCCGCTCATGTTAACGTTGCCAAAGACATCAGCAGAGCAGTAGAAAATTATATTTAGGTTGCTCTAATCGTCTTTAATCATGTAAACAAAACTTTAAAAAAATGCAAACATTACATACGAGTAAACTGAATATGACTGAAGCAGGTTATAGTTATAAAACAAAAATACAAAAATAAACACACATTTCACATGCCTAACAACAGAACTATAATATGGAGTACAACTTTATAATCAGTAAGCTTTTTTAAAAAGGTTATGTATTTTCTGAAATAATTACCAAGAGTATGGACGCCCTTACAACCTCGCTTCTTTGGTCTTCCACTGGAAAAATTCTATTCAAAGGCTCTGGCCCAGAGGGATTAACCTGGAGTTATTACCTTCTATACCCACTGATCGATGTTAATTCTCCGTTGTAACCAACAGTTACCTCACATATGACCTTTATCCTCACAACATCTCATAGTACAGCAATGACTTGACCACCAATGTCATCCAAGATTGTTACCTGCAACACAAGCTTAGGTCCTTCTGCATTTGCAACAAGATGCTACATATCCTCTATAAGTCTGTTGTAGAGTGTGATCATTTCTCCCATCATCTGCTGAGGAAACAGCCTAAGATCAAACAACTAAAAAAGTTCAGCCAACTAATAAAGAAGGCCAGCTCTGTTCTAGAAAGTCCTCCAGAACCTCAAGTTTTGATTTCATACAGAAGAATTCTTCATAAAGTGAAGAACATTATGGACAACAGAGATAATCTTCTTCAGAGGATTGTTAAACAGCAACATAGCATCTTCAGAAAGGGGCTCCTCTAGAACTGGTGCAAGACAGACCATTACAGAAGATCCTTCCTGCTAACAGCTATTAGCACCAACAAGAACTCATTGAAAAAGTGTCAATGAGTCACTGCAACATTTAATTTTCCTTTGGGATTAATAAAGTATCTTTTAATTGAATTTGAATTAAATTTTGAATCCAGCTGGCATTAGACATGTTGCTATGGAGATAAACATATACAGTGAGCTATTTTTTCTGCTTTTACATGTCATTAATAATTATAATTAGTATTATTTAGGGGAAGGAGATTGAAAAAAAAGGAGCAGTGGATTGTTTCTTGCTCTAAAGACAATATATTGTTTAAGCTTTATTTTGACCCATCAGAGCATACTTTAGCACAGAGCCTTTCCTTTATGCTAAGGTATCTATCAATGTCTAAACATCACAAAAGACTACAGTCACAGAAATGAACAAACCCTTCATCCAAATTCATGGAGTTTCACCCCAAAAAATAATTTAAACAGTGTAGATTTTATGTAAAAATAACAACTGTTATATATGTATTCATTTCTTCAGTGCACTAAAATTGTGAGATTAAACAAGAAGTTACCTGCACATCTCTGTACAAAGATTGGAGTAGCTACAGCAAACACCGCGACCGGCAGCTATCACTTCCTCTGGGGAGCTCAGCTTTTCTGAGCGGCCAAGATACCCGCTCACATCATATTCTGTGAACACATTCCCTTTATTTATTTAAAATGTAATATAAAATTAGGCTGCTGCCTGTAGAACAGGTAATTCTCAATGAAATGAAAGACACCTTACAGAATAATTTAATGGTAGAGTTGTTTATATGAAGCAAACTCACCAATGTTGTTGCACAGCCACACCCAGATGGCACGGAGTTGCTCCAGCTCATTTCTGGTTCCCTGTGTGATGCTTTGTACTATTGTCTTAACATCATATACACACTTTTGTTTCAGCTAAAAAACACAAATACACATTAGTTAAAAACTAAACAAGTTCTGTGGGATAAATTGGATTAACTTTTTACATCTACTTGCAACATTTAACTAATAGCCAGAGGTGAGGATAAAGAACTGGATATAAAGCAGACAGTACAGTATTTGCTCCTGACTGTAATAATACAGTAGGGTATCCTCACCTCTGCTCCTGCTTTGATGACACTGGAGTCCAGCCTATGGAAGACCTCGGAGCTTTTAAAGAGGTCCTTCCTGCGCTTTCTTTGACCTGGCAGAGCAGCTTTTAACTGTCCCCTCTGTCCCAGTTGGGATTTCTGCTGCAGGTGTCTCTGTTCATTTGGGTCCTTCCTCAGTGCACTTTTTTTCACAGCTGTGATGGACTTTGCTGCACTCTCTGAGGACAGCTGCCTCTTTGCTGCTGGGCGTTGATCCTCGCCGTCCACTCTCAGGTTCTCTGCTATGCTCTGCCTGGCAACCGCAGCATTCCGGGAGGCTTCTGCACTAACAGAGAGCTGGATAGCCACCGTATCTCCCGCATCAGGAGATTTTGTGCTCTCAGGGACTTGGTCTTTATATTCCACAGGTGCCTGCACCACTTTAACATGGTTCTGCTCAACTAATCTGGGATTCTCTTTAAGTTTAGAAAGTTCTGGGTCCTTTGCCAGTGATGATCCCTTCTGTGTCACATTGTCTTGTGAGGAAAGCTTTAATGAGCAGGCAAATGGAAAGGAGAACTTCTGTAATGCAACTTCGGCTGACATTACACTGGATGCATGGTTTTCTGTGGAAAGAAAGAAGAGATGGAGTTTAAAAGAGGTGCTCATCCTTACAATTGTGTACCTCTCAAGCAAATCTTTTTTTTTTTATGTACAAGACAGATCTGTGTATTGTAAGATTTCTTAAACTGAACATGTGGAAATTCATACTGTTCTGATGGACCCTTTTTGCATTGCAGAAACAATCCAAAAAGGGGTTAAAAATATCTATATTTTTTATTTGAGTAGGTAAATATGATGATCTGCAAATGGAATGAGCATTTTTTTTATCCTTAAATAAAAATTGATATTATACCCTTAAATAAGATACTTCTTATTCTTTCTTTCTTAATTTAAATGTAAATAGTCTTATTCCTTTGGCAAAATATCCCCGTTACCTGCTCAAATCAAGACAAAATGCATTTACTTTAAGAACAATTGATTTACTTACATTTATTTTTTTATTTTTTTGCAATTTGTAC